ACAGTAGTTGCGACAAAGCACAATCGCATCGTAATGTTCAAGGATCCGGTAGAAGGCAAAGTACTTCCGGGTCACGTGATAAGGACAGAGAAAGTGGCAAATGTAGGAAGCTGCCGTAAGAAGTGTTTCTTGGAGCCTAACTGTGAGTCTATAAATGTGGGTCCTGCCGACCACCAAGGACAACGCACCTGCGAGTTAAACGACTTTAGAGATGAAAGTCCATCTCAGACTAAGTTGGAGGAAAAGACAGGCCACATTCACTGTTCAATTGAGGTAACACATTACAGTAATATTAATAATAATATTAGTTGCGAAGGGTTCAGAAACATCTTAACTGAGACGATCATCTTATGCGACAAAAACAAAAACGCAAATTCGTTTACGCTTAACCCTCTGTTCATAGCTGGCTCTTTTTTCTTGCCTCCCGGAACCGGGGTGAAGGGGCGGGGGGGAGGGGTACTTCGGTGTTCTACCTCTATGACTTATAACTTTAAAACCCCTCACGAGAAGGCTACCAAAACTAAACAGAATAATGGAGAAGTCATTTCCAGCATCTAGGCATAACTTGATTAACACAATGACGTAATGGACTTTCATCAGTTTTCCCCAGATAAAATGTCTGACAAAATCATGAAGGCCGCTAGCACTTTAACAATAGCAGTGACGTTAAGATTACGTCATTTATTATTAACAAAGAAACTGGATTCATTATCAGCAAGCTTGGATCTGCTGTCATTTTGCTTGAAACCCGTATAAATGTAGGCAATTGGATATGAAATTTGATCTATGTATGAAAGGAAGCAAAAAATCTGCAAGTGATAAAATTCCGAGGGAAATGAACACTGTGAAAAATTGAACCCAACATCTGCCACTTTGGGTCATTATTAGCCTGTTCACAGACCTTTTTTTTCCGTAGAGCGCGGGTGATAGAAAATAGACGGCAGGGGATTTATTGACCGCCGGCGCAAGGGGGTAGCGCATGGTGAGGGAAGAAGAAAATTCTATCTCCCGCTCCGCGCTCGTTCTCGAGCACTCGTTTTGCTCGCGGGCTCACCGATGTCTTCGAAAAGAACGAAAAAAAAAAAAATAAAACAACGTCTGTGTACAGGCTAGGTCTTTATGGAATATTCCCAGGCAATTTTAAGTTTGGCGCTCGTCACTTCTTGAACGGTTTTAAATTAAAGTTGTTCAACTTTAACTCTGAATAGCGTTAAGATTATTAGATAAAACTGAAGCTGGTGATTATTAATGCAAGACAAAAGTAAAAGTCAGCAACATAAATTAAGACGTAGAAAGAGAGACATCTGCAAACTTTTTGGCAAGTAATCACCATCACTAATAATGATAACCTCGCATCCTATCTTTTATTTTTGTATACGTTGATGGATTATCTGGTCTAAGGAGAGAAAATGTATTGAATAATTAAATTATGTTTCTCAACAGAACTTGTTTCACAGTATCCCACGCCCTGGAAAGAATTCCATCTGTAAGGTAGGCCACGGAGATAAGTGCTACCGATGGATTTGCCGTGATGGTTTCAAAGGCCAAAACTGCGACGAAGGTAAGCGGACTCGCTGGTCAGGCTGACTTTGTTCATTTCTTTGTCAATTGGTGTTAGTACATTGCCCTGACTCACCATCCGGACATCAACTTGCTTATTCAACGAGCCTCGTGGGCCAGGATTTTAAAGGGTTTTTTTTTCATTCTCCTTGTGATATATTATTGTCTCAACGTGTAGGTAAGGGCTTATATTAATGGTGGCCAGGTAATACCTGACGATGGCAGAGTCCTCCGACATATAGGACTTTTCTTATCGGGTACGTTTGCCACCCTGCATTCCACCCACAACCTGAGGAGACAAATGTCAGCTTTTTTCGGGCATGTGCATGTCTGCTGATCCCTCATTCCAACCTTGGCTGCATATCGCCCATCTGCTATGATGATTGTCATTTCTTACATATTTAGCGAGTGGGAAATAAGACCCCCCCCCCCCCCCCCCCCCAAGCATGCAATTATAACTTAAGTAAGCACGGGTATTAAAACGCACGAGGTCTCAGTATTGTTGTCAGAGTCCGCCATGTTGTTCTCGTCTTTTTGTTTTGTGATGTTTGTTTACGGGCCTGTCCAAGAGAAAAAGGAAACAAACAGAAAAGTAGTAGAAAATGTACTTGCCGGGAACGGTGGCGAATGGTCGCGAAGACTACGAGAGTAGTGTTTTGATCAAATGAAGCAAACAATGGAGGTCGATGATGCACAAATATATGCAGGTTCAAAGCTACCTTTGCCAGCTTGGTGTGGAGGACCTCAAGGGAATCGCTAAAGATTTAGGATGTAGCCATAGCGAAGTGGAGGGGGAAAAGGTCGGAAAAAACTGGTGACATTAATCGAACATCGAATGAAAGATCAGTTGAAATTACAAGGTACTACCGAGGACAAAATAGAGCACTTGGAGGAGTGTAGGAGCCAAATTGTGATACACACCCCGAAATGTCCGTCACTGGAAAAGCCAGCATTAGGCAAATCTCAGTCACCGCCGAAAAATGGTAAGCACGAGTTAATCGATACTAGGCAGAAGTTTGAACAGAGTAAACAGAAATTGGTAGCCGGAAAATCGTTGTACTTCCAGCCTAGTGATTTCAAAACGGAGCTGAAAATAATTGGCCAGTTAGGGGAGCCTGGACAAAAAGAAAAACTAAGCTAATTTGTGAGCCTAGCAAGACAAATTGAAGGAGCGATAAAGAAAGTGTATAAGTCCTCCGAAGTTGTAGGTGCTGTTATTTGTCCATTAACCCTGGGATGAGACTGAAAAGTTATTTGGGAGGGATGGGAGACTTGACTCTTTCTTGGTTAAGACGATCTTGAGATCTCATTACCAGGAGAAGATTGAAACTAAACTTTATCAAAAAGTTGCAGGAGCCAAAAGGAGAGTCCACAAAACTTCTTATCAGAGCGTTGGACTCTAGACAAAAGATCCCTTTTGCCCCAAAGTAGACACTGAACTTAAGTGCTACCCTAACCTGGTTCAGGGGATATTTTTTCCTGCAGTAGATACAAATCTTATGTAGGATTCAATCCACAGTAGATGAAGGCTCTTTTTACAAAAACAGGGGTAAAGGATGAAGATTTAAGGTGGCTCGACTGGATTTTTTTGGCGGGATACCTCCCAAGTTTGAGCATTAACTACGTCGCAATGAGTAAAGATATGGGAAAACGATTACCACAACTGTATTATATAAAGATGAAAATTTCTTATGATCTGGGTTTTATTGCAATCAGAGTCGCCATAGCACCGTAACGACGCCATTACCTTTTTTTTCTATCTTTGTGTTTCTCTGTACCATCAGTTTCCAAGTTTATATGCACGTGCACATTTAGCAAAAAGATAGAATTTGCATCAAAAAGGACCCTCGGTTAAATCTCCCGAATATGCTAATAACCAGGTAAAGAAATTAGTGATATATTATAACGTCACATCAACTCTTTGTGAGAGTTTCTGTGATGTTGTAACCCGAGTAAGATAATTATGTATTGGTGACGTTCACCGTCTCGGCTCTCACTGCTATCTGTGACACAAGCCAATTATTAGCATATTCCGGGTATTTCTTCCGAAAGTAATCGAAAGTTCTTTTTGATGCAAATTTATTTCTTTTTGCTAAATGTGCACGTGCATATGAAACTTGGAAACAATGCCAGTGAATAATGAGGACGCTCACTTGTAAACACAAAATCTGGGGGAAAAACTGGTTAAATTTGAGGCCCTATTTAAGAGCCTTCTCTGTTTTCAATGTTCTTGACACTTGCAGGGTATATTTATTGGCAATTGATCTCGGTATTGTCAAATTTATAAAAAAAATTATCGAGCGGTTTTTTGAAAAATACGAAAATTGTAGGCATGGACCAAATTACGTACAAAAACTGTAAAAAAAAAAAAAAAAAGCAGCGGAATGCAGGTTAATAAAATTATTCTTACTCGCGATCGCCCAGAGCAATTCCCCTCTTTTCTTGTACGCAGTTTTCCATGGAATCAAACCACTATAATATGAGGCCGCGTTTCCAAAGCTTATCCTTTTCTTAAAAAAATAGCTAATTGTGTGGATAGCATGCTATTTTACTGTTTTTATGATGCTTAAAACTTCGTTTAAAAATATTTCGAAAACGCTCTCATAGGAATTGTTCAAACTTTCATATAATTATTGCAGGTACAAGCTCCCTCAAGCGATTTCTTAAAAAAACTCCCGGTACAGAGAAACACAAAGATAAATAAAAAACGTAATGGCGTTGTAACGTTGCCGTGGTGACTCCGATTGCAATAAAACCCAGATCATGAGTAATTTTCATCTTTCTATAACACAGTTGTGGTAATCGTTTTCCCATATCGTTACTCGTGGCGACGTAGTTAATGCTCAAACTTGGGAGGTATCCCCCTAAAAAAATCCAGTCGAGCCACCTTAATCAAGCTCATGAATGTCGTGGTGTTGTAGGATATTTAGAGGAGATCCAAGCAAGGATCCCTCGCCCATCAAAAAAGTTCCACGGTTAATGAGGTCGATGTATCACGAGTAGAGGGGGTTGCTCAACCGGAAGCGACTGGCCTAAAGGTGAAAGTAGCTGAGAAAGACAGGTCCAGAAAAGATAAGTTCATGTCTGCACCACAAGCTGTTCGCCACCCTGAAGCTGGATTCAGTGAAAAGGAATCAGGCTATGCAGGACGGGTTTCTGAGGCCTCACCAGGATATCAGAATCAGCAGTGAATCAGCGATCAATAAGCTGTCCCAGTTGTGAAGCAGCAGGGAGAGGGAAGTTGTATTACCATTGTCATGTTTGTGGTAGCAGTGATTACTGGGCTCGTAGCTGTCGTAAAAAGGTAGAGTAACAGTGTGAAATCAGGTCAAGGAAACAGACGAGGGCTAAAACCGAGGGACATAAGTAGCTCCACCTAAGGAAACCTTCAGTAAGACCCACAAATGTTTGAATTGTCAGAAAGTTGCCAGGACTGGTCAATGTTTTTATGCGGTGCTCAGGATGCAAGGTTTCTGACATTGACGTCCACATTACCGCACTACGCCATTGCAGCAGTCACAAGTGTGTTTTTTCAAGCCATCCAGCAACTGAAGGCAGAGAGAGCTTCTCAAGGAATACGTGGTGATGGTTATGCATTTGTCAGTCATCTTACACCTACGCAGCAGTTAACAGTAGCCAGGCTTGTTGGTTTGAAGTGTAAATTGTTGTCTATGTTGAGTGCTGGTGACTGGTGAGGTATTTCATAAGTAGGTTGAGGTATTGTGGGATACAGGGACTCAGGTGTCCATGGTATCAGAGAGTTGGTTTAGTAAGGATCTACCATTATTAGAGTTAAGGAAGATTGAAGAGATGTTAGGAAGGGTGAGGGATTGGACTTAAGAGCAGCGAAAGGTTTAGTAATACATTTCATAGGATTGGTGGAAGTAGAATTCTAACTTATCTCTGACGTTCAAACGTCTGGATTTCTTACACCTTTGGAAGTGGTTAGGAAAGATACAAGCCAGAGTGAGAAAGACACCGACTAACAGAGAATTAGTAGTGTCCAGAAAAGGTCTCGCAGGAGAGTCATGTTGCTGACATTAGTAATGACCAAAAGAGAGACGAGACGTCTTTGAAGACGCCACAAGTGAAACTAGGTGACCTTACTGAGAGCCAGCAAAAGATAGCGATGGAAATGATGACTGACGAAGCCGATTACAGTTTAGGGTTAATCACCGCCTTTTCTCATTAAGGTTAAGCACTGTTACCAAACCGGTTAGGTTCTTTTTTGGAGGTCAGGGTTGGTGCTATATGTACTTAAATTATTTCCCCTCCTTCCTTCAAATCCTCAGTGGTCTAGTGGTTAGCATAGCATACTGGTTCTTCTAGGTCGTGGGTTCGGATCCTACTGTCTACCATAATCTTTTTTTTTATAAATTTTAAGTTGAAGAGACTAGCACTTTCACGAACATTTCCAGCCTGAAATATCATCTAAGTGTGATATAATAGCAGAAAGAAGTTCTACCTTGTGCAAATTTCATATGTGGAGAAAGGGGCTCCGGCCAATGGGATCTAATGCTGACCGTTTCAAGATGACTCAGGGCAAGAATTCCGTACGGATTAGGTCTGCCGCCTTGCTCGCTCGCTTCACAATCGCTCGCGCGGCGGCAAAATCGCAAAAGCGCACAAGGTATGTCTTGTTGCATGCTTGAGTCCTCCATATTTGTCTAGTCTTTTTGTTTTGCAATCGGCTTACATTTGTCCACGCTATCGGCTTAAATTTCGAACGACCTCCTTGCTAGAAATGGTCTTCATTTGCTAAGGCTTAATATCTTGTTTTACTTTTTGTTTTGTTTTTCATTTTTGTTATTCGTCCCTGTAGACATCAATGAATGTAAGGACGGATTACACAACTGTGGCGATGTGTCTAATTGTGAGAATACCCATGGATCTTTCAACTGCATTTGCAAAATTGGCACAAAATACAAAGGTAAGTGATACAGTATGAATTATAGCAGAGACCTGATTGTATTGTAGTAATGATTGTTTAACGCTGAGTGTGGAGTGAAGAATTATGCAGATCGAGGTGGTGGATATTATCCATCCACCGAGGCTGAAGGCGCAGTTTTTCGCCATACAAAAGCAGAATTCGGTAATTGCTTTATTATTCGTTCAAAATATGCTTACGTCCTAAAGAAGGTTACCTCCGCGAAAACTTTCTTCGAAGCTTTGGCCCATTCCTCTGCATGGTTTCAGGATATAAACAGACGGTCTATTTTCTCGCAGAAACTCCTCAAAAGGTAGACAATATCCATCGAGTAATATGCATTGTGTGACTCTTGTGTATTCTCCCATTTTTTTCTTTCGTTCATGCATCAGTTAAAGTAAAAAATTCAGCTATCTCCTCCTCGCATATCCCTGAACGTCATGTTTTTCATTCACTCATGAATAAACTGCTTGGCGGCTGCGCCTGTAAACCAGGTTGGTCGATGGTCTATTGCTTCAGCAGCCTCGTTTCCGGGCCAATATATTGATCAATCTCGCCTCCAAACAAATGCACTATTAAATCGATGGTGTATTACTCTTATCTTCCAAATTTGGCATCGCAAAGAATGGCCTGATATATCTGGGAGCTTTAAGCGCGCTCCGGGCGGCAGATTTGAAAGGATAACTTGTAGGCTTTAAAATGTTTCTCGTAAGAAGATTTTACAACTGAATCGAAGAATTAAAACTTAGCCTTGTTTTATGTTGTGATCAGTTAAATAGATGATTATCACATGACGGTCCCTCAAGCGTCTGTTGGATATGAAGAATTAGCCTGGAGGATGAATGAATATTAATGATTTATATATGTTGCGTTGTGTTTTCGCCTCTTAATTTTTTTTTATGTTTCCTTCCTTTTTTCTTTATTCTCCACTTTCTATTTTTATGTATTAAACGTAAAGTGTTCTACAGTTCTGCAACAAAGTAACCTTAATTAACCAAAATACAATAGAAGCTGCAAAAAGTTTAGTTTTTGCATACGGCTGACCCATCGTGGAATACAAAAACTCAACAACTGACAAAAAAAGAACAGATGTGTAGGGTTTCAAAAAGCAAATTAATTAATCGTTTGAACTTAATCTCCAGCGGATTCATCAGCAGCAAATGCTCTAAAGACGTCAACAGCATCATTAGCAAGTCAACTGTGTAGGTATTTTCTTGGTCAGGATTAGCTGGAACAAAGTGGATCCATCTATACCGTTCAGTACTTTCAAAATAGTATTATATTCATTATCTCATATCTTCCCCTGACAAGCTTTTCTGATTTCACAAAATGAAGTAACAACTTATTCATCACGACATCGTCACTGCTATTGTAGATTATAATCTTAGTAATTTTTATTTCTATAATATTTATTCCAGGTGGTAAATGTATAAATTAAATAACATTATTTTTATGTTAGTCAACTTCTCCATTTTATCAAACACCTTGTTAAGTTTTTACGCTTTATGTCTAGTTTGAGGAAAATTTGGATTCTGCCGATAATAAATTGCAAGATCGTCAGATTCAATCAATGTGTCATTCAAGTTATGTCAAGAAGTTGGAAATGGTGTGATGAGCACATTATTCTGTTTGATTTTTGTGGCCGACCAGCATGAGCCCATAAAGTCCATGTTCAGTTTATTCGATCTAACTGTTTCTTTTTTTTTTTAATTTTATTTAATGGGATAATAAAACAAAATATAAGAGCACGACTTCCAATGAACAATAGGAACCTTACGATCCGAGGACGGCGACAGCAGCAAAAACGTCGCTGAAAAAGTGAATTCGAGTTCTTTCAATCTTCATCGCGGTTACTCCAAGACACTACCTTTGTCAAATGTAGGTGGATCCTCCTAAAGCTGAATTCCTAAGAACCATATCCAAGTTCAGATAGAGAGAGGAAATTTCGTCGTCGCTTGTGTACGTCCTCTGTGCAACGTGAAATTGGGCATTTTCACGTCCGTAGTCGTGCAATGACGGCTAAGAAATGTACAAAAAAACGAGATGCACATGCAAAGTTGTTGTTTTGTGTCAATCTAGCCCTATTGCTTTTTGAAGTTCTCGTCGCCGTCGTCGGATCTTAAGGTCTTTATTTGAAATAATCGCGTCCCTCGAATGATCGTCTCTAATAACAATGAGGATAAGAATGACAATCGCCCCTGGCTATTATTCGAGGAAATGCGGTCCATCAAAACAGCATTTATCGTGCCTCGGGGAAAGCTCTTCTGGTCGAGGACAAATATAAATATCAAAATTTACTAACAAGATAAAAGCGCGCGTGGGACCTAGCCTACAAGTCCGTTAATTTGTTAATTAAACTGCGTACCTAAGGTCAATTGATAGTTTAGCGTGTTATCTAAAACACTCTTGAAACCTTGATCTTCAAATTACCAGGAATTACAAGAAACGGGTCCATGTGCCCAAAATGGCTGGATGGATTCTTTGGTGCTTTATTTATTTGCACCTGGAATTGTGGAAACCGGGTTAGCAAACATTTTGTAATGTTTCTCAACTACCTCTGTCTAATAGCTTGTTTACTGTGTTGTTTGCTTATGTCGTACTTTTTTGGGGTTGTCTTGTGGTTAGGGATTTGTGTAGAAGCGGGATGTAGACAGAATTACTATCTTACCCCCCCCCCCCTCCCCCCTCTATTTTCTCCCTACCCACTATTCTCTCTTTAACACAAGTGACAGTTATCAGTTTGAAATCAGCGGGCGCTTAAAGCTGGTTTCGGTGCCGTTAAGCATTTTAGTTTATATTCTCGTTTAAAAAAAAAAAAAAGGTTAAAGGCATGTTTATAGTGGAAGGTGCACTTAGCTATTCAGCTCATTTGCAGGCACTCCACTCAAATGTTTAGAAACAAATAATTCAAATACAACATAACAAGATTAAAAACCCCAACTGGCAGAAGGCAACCAGTTGGCTATTTACAAGCAAGGCCGAGAATTTGAACTCGGAACGAGCGAGCACAAATCCAGCAAGTGGCCAGAGCGGGACTCGAACCCGGGACCGCCGGATTGCGAGTCCGACGCGCTGACCACTCGGCCATGCTGCCTCCTAGCTAATCGGATCAATCACCCTGATCCGGGCTGAGACGGAAAGGTACGGTATTGTTTGCTTTTCTAAGGTGTCCACTAAGTCTTTGGCCTCGGGAACAGGCTCTTAGGAGTCAAACGAATTAGGTGAGATCAAAATTGCGGGTGAAAATTGACCCGGGCGAACAAGGCTAAGGTGGAACGCCGACCGTGTGACTCTATATCCGGGAACTTGAATAAGACGAGTGTAAGAGAAAAGTCCAGAGGTGTTTATCTGGCAATAGGCTGAGTTTTCCGAGTTATTCGATGATATTTCGCTTATGCTAAACGTGAGAAGATTATGCGTGGTTGTGGATAGTCTTACCAGTGCCGCCAAAGTGTGTGATTGTGTGATTTCCGCATGGTTTTAACAGGTATGCGATCGCGTGGTTGAAGTGCG